GGAGGCTGGAGGGCCTTTCAGTGTTGCTGCAGGGGGCTTTCCCTGCTGGGTGGGAGAGCTGCCTCCTGCTCCCCGTGGGCCACTTCACCAGGAGGGATCAGCACGGGGGTTTAGCACTTGAAATGGAGTGAAAAATCCACCCCCACCAGCACGTGGTGGCTGCAGGTTTCTGTCAGTGCTGATGGATCATCGGCTCCAGGGCAGCCAGTGGCTTTCCTGGACATACCTGGGACCCTCCTGGTCCTCAAAGCTGCATCTCTGCCGTGGCTCCAGTGTCACAGTGCTCCCAGTGCTCCTCTGGAATGGCTTACTCCAAGGCTGGTTTTGGAAATCTCATGTTGGTGGCAGCAGGTGGCAGGGACACAGCAGGGGGGGATGGCTGCCCAGCACTCAGCTGAAAAAAGACTCCAGGTTTTGTATTTTTTGAAGGATCTTTCTTGTTTTTCCCCCATCCAATCTTGTAGAAAACCTTTTTTACCTCCATGCCACACCAGGTAAATTAGGTTATTGTTAATTATTAATTATCACACTCATTTGCCCTAATATTTTGCCTCTTAGCCTGCACACTCCCTATGGCTTGATGAATGGCAGTGTAGGGAAACACTGTCACTCCTGATGAGGCAGCAGCCAGAGCAGCACATACAGCCTGGAAGAAGGAGCAAAACACGGTACAAAAGCCCTTTATTTTGGAAAAAACCACTCTTCCCAGAAACCCTGTTCTCCAGAGCCAGGGTGACATATGGTGACACGGTGTGTGCCAGCAAAGGTGCTTCAGAACGTGTTCCTCTGGCTCAGGAAAGCAGCAGAGCTTAAGGATTGGAGCAAAATCATCCATGTGGGAATGATATCACTGGTGAAAGGAGGAAAAATCCTCCCTCTGCTTTGTCCTGAGTGTTTGTTAGGTGGGAATCAGGAGGAGAAGTCAGAGTGAGCCTTCAAATCACCCAGGGCTTCTCCTTCCCTCCTGGCACAGCTGCAGGTCCTGTCCCCGTGCAGGTCCCCCTAAATGGGCAAAGTTCCCAGCAGCTGGATGTCTAATGGCAACAGGGCAGTGAGACACAGTGTCCCCTGTCCCCACTGTCCCCAGGCAGGAGAGCTCATTTTGGGGCAGGAAGCTGTTCCCTGGTGCTGGAAAAGCCGACGATCCACCCGTAGCTCTCACCTACAGGTAACTCAGGGTTACAGTGGTGCTGCTGCAGGTGGGATGGCAGAGGTCACTCTTGCAAGCCAGGTCCTCAAAGGGGCCCATTCCACCTACCTGGAGAGAACTTTTTCACCCTAATCGGTTGGTTTTCAACAGACGTGGAGGATTTTATCAGCCAGACTCCTGCCTGCCATCCTCCAGCTCCACCATGAGCACCTCAAACACCCAAACCCACCATGGAGCCCCAGTACTTCCCACCAGGCTGGGATGCTGGACCCCAGCACCAGGAGAAGTCCTCTCTTTCCGGTGGCAGCAGTGAGAAAATGGCCTCATTTCCACCAAGAATTATGCAAAGCCTTGGAATATAGGACTCTCTGCGCTCCCGGCGGCGCGCGGCCCCCGACAGCCCCGATTTGGGGAGGCTGGCGGGCGCAGTGCGCTTGTTTGCCACCCTGATTAGTCAGCACTGCTAATTATAGCCGTGCTTTTCCTTCTTAGAGCTCTTCAAGCACCGTTGGAGTAACAGGGAACAACGGAGGCGCTGGAATAAGGCTGGATCCGCTCGCTGCGGAAACGGTGCTGGGATAAATATGGGGGTGAACATTCCAACAGAGTGACTTTAAGCCCCTCCTGGGGGTCTCAAGGCAACAAGCTCATAGGTCTGTCACACAGGAGTGGGAGCTTGGGTGGGAAAAGCTCATGTGATGCTGGAATGTGACAACATTTCCCCAAGGAAAAGATTTAAAGCCAATTTTAGTACTTTTAGAGGTAAAAATGATGGAGAATTGGTGAGCTCTGCACCACCCATTGAACAGCAGCCCTTGTGCAAGCTTTGGTTCCCGGCGGGCTCTGCCTGGGACATTACTGATTGCCACCCTGTTTTTAACTTGCCACCCCCTTGTTTTAACCAAAAAAGCACAATTCCTAAGGCAGGAGGAGAGCCAGGTCAAGCCCTGCCGTGGGCTGGCAGCACCCACATCCCTGTGGGGCAGTGCCAAAGGAAGATCCTGTGTCTTGTTCATCACTGAGCTTTACCCAGGGGCCAAAAGCCAAGGAGGGAGATGAGGAATGAAGATGGAAGACGACAAGGGAAAACCTTCTCTGTGCTGAATGGCCTTCCCAGGTGAGGCTGGTGGCCTCTTGCTCTGTAATTATGGTGTCAGGCCTAGGCTGGTGCCTTTGATTAGCTTTGACTTTTGCTCCTTGCTATTGAGTCTAATTTGAATATAGATAAAGCACATTTAACATATTGTCAGAATGGTGTTGCAGGTACCCAGGGAGCTCAGAACCTTAAAAAGTAGAGTCTCAAACATTGAAAATACTGTGTACAGTGGCTCATTCTCACAGACACAATGGGGCAGCTCTGGGGGCAGCGTGCCTTGGTTTAAAAGGGGCCAGATAATGTCATTTTTGTCACTTGTAAACCTCAACCCTCTTGGGGTACCCCAGTGGCACAATTTCCCCTTTCAGACAGACGGACAGATGTGCCAGCCCCGTGCAGCGGCCACGTCCTGGCAGCCCCTCTGCTGTCTGTGTCCAGCACAGGCACCAGCACTGCTGGGAGGGTCTAAGGACATCCTAAAACAACTCTCAGCTCATGGGGCAATACTCTGGAACACAGCTGGGTAGGCAGCACATGGGATGGTCTATGCCCCCCTCACTCTGGGGCCAAAGGCAGAGGAGGATGGGGATGTGTTGGCACAGCCCTGAGACCTCTTTCAGCCCGTTTTGCCACCCAGGCCCTCCCTGGGGATGCAGAGTTCACAGACCAGCCCCGGGCTGGAAGGCCCAGGAGCCTCAGGGCCACGATGCCCGGGTGTGGGGCTGCCTGGGGCACTGGGGCACCAGCAGCACTTCACCTGCTGGGGTCAGCTCCCTCCAGGACCCAGGCAGAGCCTGGGCTTCAGCATGGGAGGAGGAAAAGCTTCTGCCAGTGCTTCCTATGTGCTCCTTTGCACCTGGGGGGAGCACAGCCAAGTGGGGAGACCCCCCAAACCCTCCTCAGAGACATGGAGCTGCTGCTCCCTGGAGGACAAGCAGCCCCACCACTGGGATGAGTGCATGGAAAGGGGACACTTCCGGAGCTGGGGATGCAGGAAAAATATCCTGGGATTGTGCCAAACTTGTGGTGGGGTGTCAGGGGGAACAACTGAAGGTGGAGAAGGGATGTGTGGGGTCACCAGGGCCACTATGGAAGAGGTGGGTGTTTGAGAGCATTTCTGCAAGAGAGGCTGGAAAGGGGTGGGATGCTGGAGGGAGCAGGAGCTCCAAGGCACTTCCAGTGAGCCCGTGGGATTTGGGGTCAGCTGAGACCCACCGGGGTGTGTGTGTGTGCAAGAGGCACAGACAGATGAGAGGATCCAAGGGGCAGACTGGGGCAACTGGGCGTCCGAAGGCACGCCCCGCTCAGCCTGGGTGCCGGCAGGGCCCGGGGCTGCTGCAGCCTGCCCTCGGTCAGGTAGGGCACGTGGCAGCCACTGGCTGGGGCAGCGGGGACATCCCTGCTCAGCCCGGCGGCTGCTCGTGGCCCATCAGCTGAGACCACCCGCACTCATCTCAGCCTGAGGCCCCCGGGGGGGCTCGGACCCCACGGACGGCACATCCCCTCTGCCGCAGCGGCTCCATCCAGCCCGGCTCCTGCACCCACCTCCTGGCAGACGCCGCTGCCGACGGGAGTCAGGCAGAACTCCTCACCCGCCTCCCCTTTCACGGGCCGTGCGTAATTACCGGGAGCGGGAGCGAATTCATTCAGCTCCTCGCTCGGTTCCCTCCGCCCCTCCTGGTGCCGCTCCTGTCACTCGCACGCACCGCTCGGTCACGCGCCCGGCGGCCCCAGGTAGATGACGATTCAAGTCCCCTGGGATGGGGCTTGGCCTGATTAAGAACCCAGATGCTCCAAACTGGGGCGGTTGGGTTCAGCCAAAATCACTGATATTCACCTAAATATCTTTGAACATCGGGAGCTGGAAATCCTTCCCAACACTGAGCTCGCTGCACTGCACAGCCTGGAACAGAGAGGGAGATGAAAGAGTGGAGCTGGAGTGTTATGAAACCAATAGGAAAGGAGGGAGAAGGTGTAGCTGAAATCCGTGGATCCAGGAGCTGAGCATTCCTGCTTTGATGATTCTGCTCCCGACCTGAATCATGGAGCCATTTATGGCTGGAAAAAGAATAGTGCCTTTGGGATTTGTTCCCTTCTGGGCTGATCCTTTCCCAAATAGTCAGGAAGGAAGCTTTGGGAATGAATGAGTGGGGGGGTGCTGTGGTGAGGGACAGACCCCCAGCCCTTGGGCAGGTGTCCCCTCACAGGGGGGCAGGGGCAGGGCTGGGCAGCCCACAGGAAGCTCCTAGGTGTGGATCCTCCTCATCCCAGCTGGCTGGAGGGAAGCCTCTGTGGGGCGAAGGCTCTGTGGTGCGATGTCTCCCCAGAGGAGGGATGCAGCTGCCCAGCCTGGTTGCACAGGACCCCCGAACCCCTCCAGCTGCCATCTCCTGGGGGCACAGGAGGGCTGGCGGTGCCGTCCCTGGACATCGTCCTTGAAGATCGGGGCGTCGGAGCCGCGCCACGCCGTGTCACCCCCTCCTTTCCCATCCCCGCGTCCCTCGGCACAGGCGGTAAAAATAAACCCTGCGAGGTGCCGGGGCCTGGCTCCAGCCCAAAGCTGCATCCGCAGGACGCGGGTGCAGCGGGCCCCGACCTTGGGGAGGTGCGTCGGGGTGGCGGGAGGAGAGCTCATGAATGAACGATCGGCGGGGCGGGTGCGCGCACCCCCCTCGTGCCTGCGGGTGTGGATGTGGATGTGGAGCAGGGAGCCAGCCTTGTTGTTATTCTGATCACAGCGGCTCTGATTCACAGACTTGGATCATGAATATAAGTGAAGACTTTGACGTCAGAGTTGAGATTTATCAGCAGATCCAATGGGGCAGGAATATTAAGTGCAAGTCGATGCCAGCTCTCTGCCAACGCTATTAGCGATGCTCACCGAGGAATGAGGCTTCGCACCAAGGGCTGGAAGGACTGAGAAGGAAAAAAATAAAAACGTGGGGGGAACAAGCTGATCCTCGTGCATTAAAACCAGGTAAAACAACAACCCCCGGCGTCGCGGCTGCATGCGGGATGGGGCGATGGTGGCGGCGGGGGACGGCAGCGGCTGGGGGCAGAGCCCCCCCGACCTTCACACCTCGGCTGCCCACCCTGGGAGGGGGGATTTGCTCTGCCGAGCAGGGCAGGATGTTGCAGCCGGCTGGGAGCATCTTGCACCAGCCTTTTCCAAAGCAGGGGAAGGGAGGGAGGAAGGAGAAAGTTAATGCAGGCTGTCCCTTGCCGCTGCCTTCTCCTTCCATCGGCAGCTCCGCATACAGGCGCTGGCCTATTAATAGTGTTTATTTTTACTCACTGCACGCAAAAAAGAAAGGGCTGCGGGAGGGGCTGGAGGGGCTGCGCTATAAATAGGTAGCAAAGGTGGCCGTGCCCCGGGGAGGGGAGGAGGAGGAGGGGACGGCCAGTTCTTCACCGGGTGCGCAGCGGCTGCGGACCCTGCGTGGAGCCGAGCGCACGGAGGCGGGTGCGGGCAGCGGGGTGATGAGTTGTGCTCGGCCTCAGCCCGGCGGGAGGAGCGGGTGATAGCGAGAGAGAGCGGCCAGGGGTGCGTGTGGGGTGGGGGGGACGGCGAAGCCTGGGCCGGGGATGTTTGCGGGAGGTTGGATCCCAGGAAAGCTGCAGTGGGGCTGGGGGGAGGCGGGCGGGGATGCGGCGGGCGGGGGCGGCCGGTGCGGGACGCGGGGTGGGGTGTCCCTGGGCCGGGCTCTCCGGAGCCCGGTGTGGGGCTCGGGGGGGATGTCCCGGGGCTTGGTGCGGGGCACGGTGCGGGGGTCTCCGGGGCGCGGGGTGGGCTCGGTGAGGGGCTCCCCGGGCTCAGTGAGGGGCTCCCCGGGTTCGGTGTTGCTCTCAGCGCGGGGGTCTCCGGCTCAGTGCGGGGGTCGGCGGCTCTCCCCGGGCTCAGTGCGGGGCTCGCCGGGCTCGGTGCGGGGCTCGGGGCTCTCCCCGGTGGCGGTGCCGGTGCCTCCCCTGACCTCCCCTCTCGCTCTCTCCCCAGCGATGCTGCACGGCCCCGCCGCCATGGGGGAGCCGTGGCCGCCGCAGCCGCAGCAGCAGCGGCTCCCGGGCCCCGGGAACGCTTCGGAGCCCCCCGCCTGGCCCTCGGCGGCGGGCGGGCCGGGCACGGCGGCGCCGGGCGGCGGAGGGGCCGCGGGGGCCGTGAGCCCCTGGGACATCGCGCTGTGCGCCACGGGCACGGCGGTGGCCGGCGAGAACGCGCTGGTGCTCGCCGTGCTGTTCTACACGCCGAGCCTGCGGGCGCCCATGTTCCTGCTGATCGGCAGCCTGGCGCTGGCCGACCTGCTGGCCGGGCTGGGGCTGGTGGCCAACTTCGCCGTGCGGTACCTGCTGCGGCCGCCCAGCGAGGCGGCGGAGCTGGCGGCCGCGGGGCTGCTGCTCGCCGCCTTCTCCGCCTCCGTCTGCAGCCTCCTGGCCATCACCGTGGACCGCTACCTGTCGCTGTACAACGCGCTCACCTACCACAGCGAGCGCACGCTGGGCTTCACCTGCGCCATGGTGCTGCTGATGTGGCTGCTGTGCCTGGGCGTGGGGCTGCTGCCCCTCCTGGGCTGGAACTGCCTGCGGGACCAGAGCGCCTGCAGCATCCTGCGGCCCGTCACCAAGGACAACGCGGCCGTGCTGGCCGTCACCTTCCTCCTCCTCTTCGCCCTCATGATGCAGCTCTACCTGCAGATCTGCAAGATCGCCTTCCGGCACGCCCAGCAGATCGCCGTGCAGCACCAGTTCATCGCCACGGCGCAGGCCACCTCCACCCGCAAAGGGCTCTCCACGCTCTCGCTCATCCTCGGCACCTTTGCCCTGTGCTGGATCCCCTTCGCCATCTACTCCCTGGTGGCCGATTCCAGTTACCCCGCGGTCTACACCTACTCCCTGGCGCTGCCCGCCACCTGCAACTCCCTCATCAACCCCATCATTTACGCCTTCAGAAACCCAGACATCCAGAAGTCCCTCTGGCTGGCCTGCTGCGGGTGCATCCCCTCCACGTTCTCCTCCAGACCAAGGACATCCAGCGATGTGTGAGGACTGAGCACGGAGCCAGATGTGCTCCCTTGCTCTCCTCCTCCTTCTCTTTTTCCCCTCTGTCGTTATTGTTTCCTACCGGGAGGGACCCCCCGGTCAGCACATCTCGTTCCATGGAAAGATGGCCAAAAAGAGAAAAAGGGAAAAAGAAGGGGGAAAGAAAGAGAGAGAGTAGAATGATAATGGTTTCCTTTAGAAATGTTATTTTCTTACGCATTTTATTTTTTATTTAAAAACACAAAACACCAAAAAAAAAAAAAAAAAAAGAAAAGAAAAGAAAGAAAGAATGAAAAGGAAAGAAAAAGGATCCTCGTACGATGGTGTTTATCTGCTCTCGGGGTAAGGAGCCAGGCGAGCAGCGGGCCCCGTCCGGGTGGTCCCACGCCTCGAGGCACATCCCACGGGAAGGCCACAGGAGCGGGCGGGGGCAGGTGTCACGTACCCCCCGGCGGGGCTGGTCCCCACGCGTGGAGTTGTTACACGGGGCGCCCACTCCCCTGAAATCAGGTCTTGCGATGCTATGCAATAACGGGGGGGGGCGTTCAGCACCGCAGAGGGGACAGCTCCGGCCGGGGGGCGGGCTGAGGGGACCCGCGGGGGGCACGGGGCCTCTCTGCGTCTGTGTCGTTTGTGAAGCACTTCGAGAACCTGCGGGGCAAAAGGCTCTTTAGGTTTGGGTTGTTTGGGCTGTCGCAGGGATGGAGATACCCAGGGAATCCATTCCGTCCTTCCCCCCCCCACAAAGGTGACTGGGGCAGGGGGAGGGCTGATGGTGTGCAGGTGGGGAGGGCAGTTGGGGTGCACCCCAAAGTCTGGGAGGCCAAGGAAGGGCTCTCCTGTCCGACTGGGGCTGTAGGGTGATGCTCTCCCCCCTCTGCACTCCCTTCCACACCAGTCGTTTACATGGGGAGGGATTTTGATCCAAAGAGGGGTTCAGGCTTGCTGGGGTCCCCAAGAGGGAAGCCTTGTAATCACACACGTTATTCCTGATGCTGCCAATTTAACTCGCTTCGTTAGAGAAGCAACGGGCCCCTCCCATTCCCCTACTGTCTGATGTGCTTTGTGGTGTTAGTGAGACAGATGAAGTGTCCTTTACCTTGTGCTTTCTTTTGGCCGGGCAGTGGAAGTGCATTCACTTACAGAGCAGGAAACAAAGCAACGCTCACGGGATGGCAGGGCCCGGGGTGGAGCAGCCAGGGTGGCTCAGGGCACAGGCAGGGGGTGCTGCTCCAGGGCCTGGCGTGGGAACAACTCTGGAGAACCCTCACCAGCTGAGCCTGGTATCCCAAACATTCTGCTTTCCTTTAGAGAAATTGCTGCAGTGTTGGACAGGGACTTTGGACAAGGGCCTGGAGGGACAGGACACAGGGAATGGCTTCCCACTGCCAGAGGGCAGGGTTAGATGGGAGACTGGGGAGGAATTCTTCCCTGTGAGGGTGGGCAGGCCCTGGCACAGGTTGCCCAGAGAAGCTGTGGCTGCCCCATTCCTGGAAGTGTCCAAGGCCAGGTTGGACAGGGCTTGGAGCAACCTGGGCTAGTGGAAGAAATGTCCTTGCTTTGTGTGTCTGCAGTGGGTACAAAGGCACTTTATGGCTGGGTACAGACAGACCCAAGTGTATTTTCTCCCTGGATCTGTGCAATGACTCTCTTGCTCCTTGGAGCTTAGTGCACATGAGAAAGCTGTGAATCTCCAAAGTGTGCCTGGAGCTTGGACTTACTGTCTGCCTTTGAAAGGTGGCCACACTCTTAGTTTTTTGTTTTTGTGGTTTTGGTTTTTTTTCATTTCCTTTCTCTTTTAAATACCTTGGGCAAGGGGCAGTAGGCACAATATTGAATCAATGTAAGCTTTAAAGTAAATAGATTAATTTAACAAAGAGTAATATTTATACAAACACTCTGCTAATTTTATTTCTTCTGGTTTCATAAGTGCAGCCAGGTCCCTGCAGATCCTCAATGTGAAAAATTCAATAGCTTAAACCATTTTTGAAACATTGTGAACATTTTGAAATGATTTTATACAACCACCCTATCTAGGAGATGGGATTTGTTTCTCTGGGCAACTCATTTTGTGTCTCTGGGTGAAATGTAGTTTAACTAATCAGCTCTAGAGAAACTTTAGCATGAAAAACAGTTGCATTCTCTTGGCTTTCCAGTAATCCCCTTATTGCTGAAGAACTTGATTTTAACAAACTTTTTTAGTTGTATACTTGAAACTTGCCTCAGTTTGAGGGATCCATTGACAAACTTTGCCAAAGTCAAATAAGAATCAATGGAAAATAATTCACACACACACACTCCCTCCATGTCTCTCCACAGCAATAGGTGAAGGATTTGGGAAGTGAGAGCTAAAGCTGAGCACACAGTTCCTGCCAGACAGCTGAGGTTGAGAGCAGGTGGGGATGTCTTCACTGAGACCCAGGGTACTCACCCAAACCCCTCTACAGCAACTTTGTCAAACTCTGCTGCCTGAATTCTGGTCCTTGCATGAAGGAGACACTGATTCTGTTGCTCTGACCCAGCTCACAGCCAGTACCAAGATGTGGCACAAGTATATTCTCTGTGCTCAGAGTCGGTGTAAAATCACAACCTAATTTTTTCTCAAGTGATGGTTTAGTTTCTCTCTCTTTGAGATGTCCATGGAAGTTGTTAAAAACACTTGCTAGGTTTCAGGGAAAGTCTCAAGAATTCTCCTCTAAAAACTGTTTTGTTAAATTGGCATTTCTGCAGTCTTTCCCCTAAGTAAAAATAAATGTATTTTCTGGGTCTTTTATTTTCCTTTGCTGTTTTTTCTCTCCTTTCTTTTTAATCAGTGGAAAGGAGAGAAAACAAGGAGGAGTGAGGCAGAAGGTAAAGAAGTTTAGGTTCACCTGCCATGCAATGTGTTGTGGAAATCTCTGACCTTTTTACTGCATCTTTGCTTTGGCACTTTGTTTTTGGCTTGATTTTGTTCTGTTTTTGTTTTTCATTAAGAAAATCTTCTACTGGAAAGGTTTCAAGTGACAATTTTGGACATCAGTGAGGATGCTGGATGTTGGATCCTCCTTATATTGGACATGAGGAGGCCTGACTTAAAACCTTAAAATCTTTAGGAAGTTAGTGGTGCTGTGAACAGGGAATGCCCTGTGTTTGGGATGCTTCAGTGTTGGCTTTGGGACACGTTTAGGATGAAATACTGGGCCTGACTTTGGATGAGTTGTCATAAAAAAGGAGCAGCTCCCATGAATGCAATGGTATCACATGTGGATGAGGCAACAATGATAAGGAAGCACTGGAAAACAAAATGGGTTTTCCAGCTGGTTTTCAGTCCAGTGAATCATCTGTGGGTTCCCTGTGGATCCAAAACATATTCCAATGTGGTGAAAAGAGCCAAGCAGCCCCTATCTACCTGCTGGCTTCCATGAGATCACAGAGCAACTGGAGTGTCCCATTGCTCTCCACTTCCTGGTATTGGATGTGTTGGCAGGGTTAGGCTGGATTCCCTTGTCACTAGGAAAGCTGAGATCTATAAAAGCCATTGTGCCATTCAGATGATCCAGGGGGACAATGGTAGTTCTGCAAAGCACAAGGTCTTTGCTGGTTGGAAATTTGCAGGTGCCCTTTGATTTTCGCAGAACCTCCATGGCCACTCTGGGTGGGAACTGGACCTGCCTGGAGAGGACTGCTTGGTGTTTAACTGGGGAGACCTCTGTGTCCTCACCCTGGCACAGACCTTGCCATTGTACCTTCAAATATTGACTTTTGCAAATTGCATTTGATAAAAGATGAAGGATCAGAGCTTGGCCCTGCTTAGATTCATGTCACTGCTGGACTCTACAGGAGCTGGTGTAGATCCACAGCAGTAGAAACATGCAGAAAACTGGTCCTGAGGTGTGAGGAAAATTGATACCTTAGGTATCCAACCAGCCCCAAGCCTATGGCAGAGATCAGTGTAGCAAGGAAATGAATCCACTGCTTATTTGGGTGATTTATTTACAGGTTTCTGTGTGCCTTTGGCTTTTCCACCATGACTTGGTGGCCAGCAGAATGCAGGTGTGAGTGCTTTTGTCACTGGTGGTTGGCTGTTGAGGGGATGAAGAAAGAGTGAAGAGGAGAAAGAAAGAGAAAACATTCCTGGAATACACTGTGACAAGGGCAGGGCCACCCTTGGGTTGGGACAAAACCACAGCTCCATGAGCGCCCTGAGGTTTGTGGAGATGTGCCAAGGGTGGGTGTGAGCTTGTGCATTTACAACAAGCCCTTGTTGTCACAGCATGTTTCGACTGAGAAATAAAAACAAAACAAAACAAAACAAACCCACCCCCCCCACGCCCCCCCCCCGGTAGAATGTACAGGCTCTACCAACAAAGCTGCATGGTTTTATTTGGGTTTTGTTTTCCATTTTGGTCAGTTTGGGACTCTGAGCAGTGAAAACATCTCTCTTTAGCCAACTTTGTATCAGCAACCAGCAGGAAATATCTCAAGGGTCTCACTCCTGATGTGGCAGCCCCAACTGGTTCATGTCAAAGAGTTTGAATTGAACTTTGAATGAAACTCCAAGAAACCATTACTGTTCTCAGTAGGTGATGAAGTACCTCTTTCTTGTAGAAACATCAAATTTGGGGTGGGGAGGTCTTTAAAAAGCCATTGATCCTGGTAATCACTTGTGTTGGTGTGTTCTGACCAGCATCGAGGACTCACGTCATTGTTACTGGTGAATTAGAGTTCACTTTAATTGTCAGGAATAATTGTTGAATGCACATGGTATTTCCTTGTAACTCCTCTTGTTCATGCACAGCCTTTCCTCTTGTTGAGGTGAGACAGCTTCACCCGAACCATTTGTACCTCTCCTGTTCCCAATGCAGTTCCTACTGCAAGCTCCCCTGAAAGCTGCCCTTCCTGCTGTCCTGAAACCCCAGGAATGGAGCTTTCCCATTCCTACTGGAAATCTCTGCAATACAGAGCATTATAGAGATAAAATGGGGTTTTCAGTAGAGAAGACCCAAATCAGAAGAGGTGGGCCAAAGCTCTTCTGTCCCTGACTTTGAGGGATGTGATTAAATTGTCTCCAACTCCAAGGGTAATAGTTGCCTTCACAAACTCTGCTTGATGCCAAACCCCCCCCCGGTTATCCCCTCCCGGCTGGAGGATGCTACCGTGGGCAGGATGCTGGATGTCTGACAGCACGTTGTATCACTGAGCACTGAAACCACAAGCACAGGTTTATGGCCTTATTGCAGGATCTGAGAGCTGGAAAACAGCAGGCTGGTCCCAGGGAAAGCTCTTCTCCAGCTGGGAAGTACCTGGCTGAGGATGAGGCAGTGCTGGCTGCTTGTCCTTCTAGCCAGGCCTCCAGGCTCTGCCTGGCTTTTCTACATCACACACTGAGAGGACTGGGCTTGTTCCTGATGTCCCGTGTGAGCAGGACAAAATACATCAGCCCCCAGCACACAGAGCATCCTCCCTGCAAAGTGAATCCTCCAGCTTGGAGGGAGAGATGAGTTTCTGGTGGCAAAGCCCAGCTGGAGACTCACCCGGAGCCCAGTCCTGCTCTCCAGTCACCCCCCAGGGCTCTGAGCCCCAGGTCAGGCTGGCCAGGCTTCCGTGTCCGTCGGAGCCGCTGTCACAGCACAGACGGACAGACTGGGAACCCATCACCCCGTCCCCTGCCTCCCGTCCCAGCTGATTCCCCAGGAACCAGGTCATTTCTCAGCAATCAGGGCAGCAACTTGTCTTGCTGTCGGTGTTTTCATGAGCCTTTTAACTTGACTGGGAAAGTTGATCTCAAAGACAAATGTACAGTTATCATTCACCTATGATTAAATCAAGCCCCGTTGATGCACTTTATGACCGAGTGAAAACAAATCAATGCTGTTATTGCACTGTATCTCTATTGTGTATAATATTATACATTCATCTGTAAGAGTAATTTATTTTTATTACTGTAAATAAAACTGTTAAAGTGATTTGTCAAGAGGATATCCAAAAATAGGGGGAAGGGGGTTAAAATTAAAACATTTGAAGATCTGGGCTCCTGTCCCAGGTATGTGCCATACTGTGTGTGTGCCAGTGTTTTTATTTCAGCCCAGGCAAGTCTAGAACAGGGCTCTGCTTTCCCTCACCCAGGACTTGGATCAGGATGAGCTGGATGAGAAAAGGAACCACTCGAGACATTGAGGGGTTGGGAAGGAGCATCTCCTGCTCAGAGCCTCCAAGCATGAGGATCGAGGCTTTTCCATCAGCAAGCCATTCTCTGTCCTCTGATTAGGGAGTCGGGGATTAAACACCCATGGGAATTAGTTGATCTTTGAGGGCTTGATTCTCCAAATGAAGGGTTATAAAGAGATCACAGCTTTCTGCTGCTTCTTCTGTGTCCCAGGCTCTGAAAGAGGAGGGAATATCACAGGGCTGATAACTCACAGCCAAA